AATTTGTCACCCAACCAAAGCGCGTGGGAGGCCTTGGCATATTGGACCCGGGTGACGAAATCAAAGGCCTGATGTTCAAAATTATCACCCGCCTCCTGCTGGTCAATGACCTCCCCTAGCTCCCTCTCGCTTACATACAGCTGGCTAACCTTGCACCCCCCACCCCCCCCCATCGCCCGATTCACCCCCTGAGCTGGCTGACAAATAAAGCTTGGTCTCTACCAAGCCCTCCGAGACATACGAGAGATGGCTCTGCTCATAACAGCGTCAGATGGGACCTCAAATACGACCCGTTGTGGACAACAATGCTGGGCTTGTGGAGGAAGATGGGTCCGAACCAAAAGTCCCCCCCAAACAGGACAGAAGAAATTTTGCGACAACCACTGTTTGGGAACCCGCACATATTAGGTGATAATGCTGGCCACCCCTTCGCCCTGTCCACCGACTCCCACTGGCTCACATGGGTAAGAAAAGGCATTTTCGCAATTGGGGATCTGTGGGATTGCCAAACAGGGATGTGGACGACTGCACAGCAACTGCAGCCAACGCTAAAAGCGGTACGGAATATTCATGACAAGCTTAAACAACTTCGAGAGGCAATCCCGCCCCCATGGGTCGCAGCCCTACGGGATGGACCAACGCTGCGCAGCCTAGATTGGGTCATCCGGGCTAGCACAAACCCCATCCCCATGACCATTTACAGGTTGGCCCACATTACACAGGTGGGCGTGTCAACATATGCATATGAACCTGACGTGCCGGGGACGAGGTGGGCAGCCCTGAAAAGGGTCCCGGACTTGGACTGCACAATTACCGAGGATGAGCTACTATGCCTACGAAATGTCAATCCCGATATACGCACTGCCTTTCGACCCGGAAGAATGGGAATGGGGGGGCCATAACCCCACTCCCATATGGCAATACACAGCGAAAGATGGCTATAAGAGGGCCCATGTCCTACGCCCATCCACTCAGATAATTCAAACAGAGATGGAAGAGGGATTCCCCGGTAGAAGCCGACGAATTGCGACATATTCCGTGGACAACCTATGCACACATAATGCCCACCTCCCATAGAGCCCTCCAATGGCAAATTACGCACCGTTGCCCTCCGACTCCAGATTGGGTGACCTCCAGATCTAGCTTGGAACAAGCAGGTGTCCTGTCTCCTATCTTCTCCCAATGCGGGTCCGATACCGAAAGCCGCAGAGTTGATCTGGAACACTGTTTGCTAGCATGCCCTGCAACAATAAGGGTTTGGCAAGGGTGGGACACAATATGGCACGCCCTCACAGACACTGTGTTTCACTGGGATGTAGCACTCATCCTATTGGGAAAACGAAGAAACCACCCCGCAGCCTGGTCCCCATTCCAACGAAATCTGTTCGGATATATGCGATTGGCAGTACTCATGGTAATATGGCGAATGAGATGCTCAGGGGAGCGCCAAGAAGCTGCCTTCGGCTATCACCAAGCTAAAGCGGAGCTGGTGGAGTTCCTCCGGACAAACTTGCTGAAAGCCAGCAGGAAATTAGTTGATGTACTGACCGCGAGCCCAGACAGAGAATGTAAACAACAGGCCATCCAGGCCTTCAGGGCGCTCTGGATCGATCCCCACGGAAAGCTAGCAGAAGTGAGGGATGACGGAAAGCTGATATGGAAAAACTGGGCAGCACAAGAGGACCAATGGTCCTTCCGTCCGCCAGACAGCTTTCCCACCCCTCTACCAGGCCAAACAAAAGGGGCAATGGTGTCAATGCCCTCAATAACAAGCTCTGCAAACCAGATTCTCAGGGACGCTGGCCCCCAATCGTCACTCCCCTCGCTCGGGATGCCCTTTCCCCCACCTCAGCCTCCACCACCGACCCCCTCACCCCCTCCCCCACTCCCAATGGTCTCTCCCCCTCTTACTCCGCCGCTGGCCCCCCCCATGCCATAAGAGACCCCACCGGTTACTCCTCCCCAGCCCGATGGTCCTCCCTCCCCCAACCCCGCCCTTCCACTCCTCATCCAGTATAACCTGCCACCTTCCCCCCTCTCCCCCCCGAGCCATCTCCTGTGACGACATTGACTATCAAGACCACAGCAACACTGGAGGATCCCCATCGGCTGGGAGAGACGAGGGAGCAAGGGGAAAGGGAAAAGGAGGTACATCGTCCCAGGTCACAGTCCGGGGCAGAAAGGGTGCTGGTGGAAGCCTGTGCACTACAATGTCTGCAACTCACCATAAGAAACAGACAGCAGCACAAGGAGGCGGTGGAGATAAATGGGAATCGACTGGACAGCTAAACTACAACAGCGGGCCAAGTACATCAGGTTTCGGCCCGGCGGTGGTGATAAATGGGGATAAACTGGACAAGGATCACGAAGGTCGACGGTAGGAGCTTGAAGAGAGTAAAGGGTATAGGGTTTAAGGGGTCGAGGGACATAATAGGTCAGACATTCAAATGGGGGGCAGCTGACCAGGGCTGGCTTAACAAATACGGGGTGCCCTAAGAAGGGAAGGGAATCACAAGCAGCCCCAAGGGACAAAAGGGACCTAATTTATGATGGAAACAGCCCACAATAAAAGACAGGAGGACATAGGAATCCATAACAGTGGGAGCTGGACCCTACGAACAACAGACCTCGCTGAGACCTCAGGGGAAGGGTTTCAAAGTTAACAGTGGTACCGGAAGTGGAGTAAGGAGGAATACAGCAATGATCATAGCAGGAACAACTGGGCCCTTCAGCAGCACGAAGGCCTGTAAAGGTGCAATAAGTGGGATGCTGGACCCCGTTTCCAGCAATTTCAACGCTTTTTTGTAATACTTGG